TCAGAGAAGAAACTAATGAAATTGAGACCAAAAAAATACAGAAAATCAATAAAATGAACGGTTGTTTTTTTGGAAAGGTAAACGAAATCAACAAAACTTTAAGAAAAAAAGACTCAAAATCAGAAATGAAAAACAGGATATAACAATTGAGACCTCAGAAATACAAAGACTCAATAAAGAACTATTATGAACAGCTGTATTCCAACAAATTGGAAAATCTAGAAGAAATGGATAAATTCCTGGACACATACAGCCTAGCAAGACTGAAGCTTGAAGAAATAGAAAACCTTAACAGAACAGTAATGAATAATGAGATTAAAGTTGTAATATAAAGTTTCCTATTAAAGAAAACCCCAGGATTTGATGGGTTACCAAACATTTAAAGTAGAACTAATACTAATCCTACTCAAATTCCTCAAACAAACAAACAAAAACTGAAAAGAGGGGCCTACTTCTAAACTTATTCTGTGAGGCCAGCATTATTCTAATATACCCAAACCAGACCAGGACACAGCAACAACAAATGCACCTCAAAGGAGGTACAGAAGAATCATACCTCAAAATAATAAAGACCATATAGGACAAAGCAATTGCTAACATCATACTGAACACAGAAACATTGAAGGCCTTTCCTCTAAAGACTGAAACAAGGCAAGAATGCTCACTTTCACTGCCATTATTTAATGTAATATTGGAAGTCTTGGGCAGAGAAATTCAGCAAGAGAAAGAAATAAAGGGCATCCAAATTGGAAAGGAAGAAGTTAAATTAGCCTAGTTTGTAGAGGACATGATCTTACATTTAGAAAAATCCTAAAAACTTCACTAAATACTATTAAAACTGATTTTTAAAAATCCATAAAGTTACAGGATATGAAATAAAAATACAAAATCAGTAGTATTTCATATATAAAAAGTAAATCTGCAAAAAAATCAATAAAACAATCTTATTTATAATAGCAATAAAAATAAAAGATACCTAGGAGTCAATCTAACCCAAGAAGCAAAAGATCTCTATAAGAAAAACTATAAAACTCTGGTGAAAGAAATAGAAGAGGACACACAAACAAAATGGAATGATATTCTATGCTCATGAACTAGAAGAATTAATATTAAAATGACAATACTACCCAAAGCAATGTACAGATTCAGTGCAATTTCTGTCACAATACCAATGGCAATCACAGAAATAGAAAAACAATCCTAATATTTATATGGAACCACAAAAGATCCCCAATAGCTAAAGCAATCCTGAGCAAAAAGAAAAAAACCAAAGCTATCACACTACATGACTTCAGAATCTACTACAAAACTACAGTAGTCAAATAGCATTGTACTGCATAAAGACAGACACACAACCCAATGGAGCAGCATAGAGAACTCAGATACAAATCCAGGCACTTAACAATCAAGTCATCTTCGACAAAGTCATCAAGAACATAAAAAGAGGAACAAATGGGCTGGGCACAGTGGCTCACACCAGTAATCCCAGCACTTTGTGAGGCTGGGGTGGGGGGGGGTGGATCAAGAGGTCAGGAGTTCGAGACCAGCCTGATCAACATGGTGAAACTCCATCTCTACTAAAAATACAAAAATTAGCCAGGCATGGTGGGGAGCTCCTGTAATCCCAGCTACTCAGGAGGCTGAGGCAGGAGAATCACTTGTACCTCGGAGGCAGAAGTTGCAGTGAGTCAAGATCGTGACCCCACTGCACTCCAGCCTGGGCAACAGAGTGAGACTCCATCTCAAAAAAAAAAAAAAAAGGTACAAACAGTCTTTTCAAGAAACAGTGATAGAAAAACTGGATATCCATATGCAAAAGAGTAAAATCGGACCCCTATCTCTCACTATACACAAAAATCAAATCAAGGTGGATTAAAGACTTGAATCTAAGACCTGAAACTATGAAACTACTGGAAGAAAACATTAGGGGAATCCTCCAGGGCATTCATTGATTTGGGCAAATACTGTCTATGAGACTTCAAAAGCACAAATAACCAAAACAAAAATAGACAATTGGGATTGTTTCAAGATCTGCACAGCAAAGGAAATAATCAATAAAGCGAAGAGACAACCCACAGTATGGGAGAAAATACTTGCAAACTATATATTTTACAAGGGATTAATAACCAGAATATGCAAGAAACTCAATCAACTCAAAGAAAATAAAGAAATAAATAAAAATGGCCAAAAGACCTGAATAGCTTTTTTTCAAAAGAAGCCATACAAATGGCCCAGAGGTATTTGAAAAAATGTTTAGTATCACTAATCACCAGATAAATCAAAACCACAATGTGGTATAATCTCACCTTAGTTAAAATAGCTTATAACAAAACAACAGGAAATAACAGATGCTTGTGTGGATGTGGACAAAGGGAAACCCTTTTACACTGTTGGTGGGAATATAAATTGGTACAGCAATTATGAAGGACAGTATGGAGATTTCTCAAAAATTTAAAGTAGGACTAACACATGATCCAGCAATATCACTCCTAGGTAAAAGAGGAAATTAGTATGTCGAAGATATGTCAGTACTCCCATGTTTATTATAGCATTACTCACAAATGCCATGATTTGAAATCAACCTACGTATTTGTCAACAGATAAATGGATAAACAAAAAATATATATATATACACACACACACAATGGAATATTATTCAACCATAAAAAAGAATGAAATATTATCAATTACAGTAACACAAATGGTACTGAAAGCAATTATGTTAAGTGAAATAAGCCAAGCACAGAAAGAAAAATATCACATTTTCTAACTCATGTGTGGAAGCTGAAAACGTGGAGCTTATGAAGACAGAGAGTAGACTGGTAGTTACCAGAGGCTGGAGGGAAGAGAAGGAGAAATGAAGCGGAAAAAAAAAAACCTCCCACTCTCTCTCTCTCTTTCTGTGTGTGTGTGTGTGTGTGTGTGTGTGTATGTGTGCATATGTGTGTATGTGTGTGTGTGTGTATATATATATAAATGTGTATATGTATGTGTATATATATAAATTTGTATATCTATGTATGTATGTATTACCACTGAACTGTACACTTACAAATGGTAAAGATGGGCTGGGCGTGGTGGCCCATGCCTGTAATCTCAGCACTTTGGGAGGCCAAGGCAGGTGGATTATGAGGTCAGTAGTTTGAGACCAGCCTGACCAACATAGTGAAACTCTGTTTCTACTAAAAATACAAAAACTTAGCCAGGCGTGGTGGAAGGCGCCTGTAATCCCAGCTACTCGGGAGGCTTGGGCAGGAGAATCGCTTGAACCTGGAGGGCGGAGGTTGCAGTGAGCCAAGATCATACCACTGTACTCCAGCCTGGATGACAGAGTGAGACTCTGCCTCAAGGAAAAAAAAAAAAAGTAAAGATGGTCAATTACATATGTATATTTTACCTTAAAAAAAATAAATTTAAAACATATTCAGTAGACTAGCTAAAAAAATCTAGAGATAGGTATTGATTCATATGTAAAAGTCTTCCAATATTTACAAGTAAAATGAAAAAAAAAAACCCTTGAATTAAGTGTAGAACTCACTGACAGTGTTTCAAAGGATTGACATATGAACTAAAATTTGGACAGTACATGCTGTTCCTACATACTTGGAACACAGGGAGAAAATCTGGGATGGAAATATTGCTATAGGAGTTAGCACATGAAGGTGATAACTAAATTATTTGGAGTAGATGGAGTCACTAGCACATATGAATAGTTTTAGAATGAAATGACCCAGGATAGAATTTTGGAGAGCCCCCAAGTTTAAATAAAATCAGTATAAGAGAGGAGGAAGAAACCAAATGGTATACTAGTCTAAATTGTTTCTTAGTGACAAAAGAATAACCTGAATATTAGATTAGCTCCTATATGCTCTCTAAATCAATTTCATCCAACATGCAGCAGTACCGTTGTTTTATGCTCCTTCACAGAGGAAATTCTGGAAAAAGCACATGGGGTTCCTTGCCTTTTCATCTGTATTCCTTATTCTCCTGGAAATTCACTATAAATATTCTCCACCATTAGTATGCTTCCTAAATTTGCCAATGTCTAAACATTATATCAAGTGTCTCTTAGCTACATTCAAGAAAGCCTAGAAACCAGGTGTAAAATGTCAAGGAGAATAGTGTCATATGCATAAGTCTTGCTTAGAATTTATCAGACACTTTTATGTGACAAATGAAATTTTAATGCATAATCCCATTTTACTAATAATGTAAAGGTAAGACTACTTATAATTTTTTTCATTTCATTCAGACTATATAACATTGTCTCCCTCATATATAGTAGGAATATAATGACTGTTTTCTGAAAGAAAAAGAAGGAAGGAAAGGAAGAAGGAAGAAAGAGAGAAAAGAGAAAATGGATACAAGTTAACTCAAATGTTCAACAAGCTGCTTCCAGCTTTAAATTTGTAGGACTTAGAAATGTCCGTTATAATTTGTCACTGTAAGAATGTTACATAATTTACTAAAAGATAAAAAAAAGCTTCAATAAAATAAAATGGGAAGAATGAGACTGAAGAAGACTGAGGAGGAAATTGTGTGATAAAAAGTAGTTATGAATACAGATTTTTCTTTTCTGAAAAAAAGAGAAAAACCTTGCCTCAGTGAAAGTGTCACTAAGATATTTATTTAAATAGAATGGAATTGGCATAGAAACATGTTTGCATCTAAATGGGCTTTAGAATTTTACAAATAGAAATGGCAGAAAAGGAACATAGCTTGTAAAAAAAAAATGCATATCAATTATTCTGCATTTAGCCTGAGGGAAAAGAGAAAAAGAGAGAAAGGAGATTTCTGCAAGTGTAGAAATAATTACGGGGATATTAGGTGCCAATGAACCCAAAAGGGTTGACTTAAAATTTGCTGGGTCCCTTGTGGTTTTGGCTATCAACTAGGAAATCCCTCATTTCATGCTCATAACTCCTCCTACTTCTCCACACATTCATAAAGGAACATTAAATTGGTGGCTAGCAACTTTTTTATCCAATTTGAGCTCAATAAATTTATCCCGTGTTTTGAATGCCACAGACCTTTCGAATGCCACTTTGAGTTTTACTGGAGGATGAGCACACAAAAATGATCTCAGACAGACTTCCAGAAGAAAAAGAGTGTCCGTATTAGAGATAAATGAAAAGTGTAAAAAGTCATATGTAAAATGTCCACAGTATATTATATTGGCACATATCCTAGCACCGAATGGAGTAAAATTTATGACATTAGCTGGATGCTGTTACACAGAGTGCAGACAGAAAGTACAGCCATCACAGAGCCCGCAGCTTAAGGGAATGCGACTGGAATCACTGGAGAAGAAAAATTGGTGAGTGATGAATGAAAATGTTATGAAAAATGGACAATATTCTTCAGGTATTTGGTAAGAGTAAAACCAGGTCTCAATAATAATTGAGGAGTAAGTCTCATGAATTCCAAGTTTCCCCCCATAATTTAATTGCCAGCTTCTCCAATAACAATTACCCTATCCAACTAACCAGGAGCTTACATACACCACCACCTGCAACCTTGCTATCTGTGCCTGTCAGGTAGTCCTCACATGTCAGCTCTTTAATCTTGAGTAAGTCAGACATTGTGATTGCCCTTAAAGGATTCTTATTCCAATTGTGATTATCTTTGGAGAAGAAAAAATTTGCCCTATTAGAAAAAGCCAGTGACTTAGGGATGGGAGTGTCATAAAACTAAGCACTGGGGATCAAATCTATGGAAATCACAGTATTTAATTGACCTACAAATTTACAGTAAATATATGTTAGCTGATACAACCTCCCTGTTGTGAACTGTCCTCTGCTGATTTGGTTCTTTGATTTGAAGTTCAGCAACAGTTGAACATTTGTTGTTGAACATTTGAGTGAACTTGTATCCATTTCCTCTTTTCTCTTTCTTCCTTGTTACTTTCCTTCCTTCTTTTTCTTTCAAAAAACAGCTGCTTTTTCTTTCAAAGAAGAGTTGCTTCCTGAATTTCCAGTATATTGGTGACATTAAGTATGTGGTTAGCTCATTCATGAGCTTGCTGAGATAAAGCAACTTTATTGAAATGTCTAGGAAAGAATGAAGTAACTTAACCCTACTTTTCACTGAATCACAAACATTTCTCTAATGTGTAACTTAAAACGTACTGATCCAAAATATGTAATTTTTAGAAAATAACTATTTTGATCAGAGAACTTTCATATAAAGCATAAGAACCCAGGTTTTTCAGAAAATTCAGTCATCAGTGAAATTGAAAAGTGACTAAATTTTCTTCAGTTATTCATAGTGCTTTTCTCAATTTTAGTATCCCCAAGTTTGTCCTGTCTTCCCTGTCTAGTTCTACATTTGACTTCTTCTAAGAAATCTGTCCTTTAGCTGTTTTATGTTTACTAATTTCTTATGTCAGAGCTCACAAAATTATATAAGCATCTCACCTATATTTCGTTAAGAACTAATGAGCCTTCATTGGGTCATATTATGCTAATTATAACTCTTAACAGTTTAAAACCAGGAAACTGGACTCTATCCTGGCTAAATGATTCATTTGTCCTTATTCATTATCTGTGGTTTATCAGGAGCAAGTCCTCTTGCTGTATGCATTGTTGCTACTCATCTTGTCCCTTAGCAGTTCCTTCTCTCTAGGTATTCTATAAAGTGTACTACAGAATTTTTAAACTCACAACATTTCAAGAATTTCAGTTGTTAAAAATATATAGGAAAAAATATAATTCCCTTTAACTTTAAAGAAATTTAAAAAGCAATCAGGAGATTTGACCCAGATTTGTCAAAAGTATAAGGATTTCTATACCTTCTAAAGCACTCTCTTTACATTCTTCTGAATATAAAAAGAAATACATTATGTTCTTCGGTGTCAATTATTTCTGCCTCTATTCTCTTTCATTGGGAATCTTTTACACCAATGTACTGGTCAGAGTCTGATAATCTGCTGGTCTAAAATGTTCTTAACTTAAACAAAATTGGAAACAGTTAAATACTAGAGGAATAGCTGAAATGTGAAATATGGGGAAGTTTATTACACTCATTAAAATGCAATATCCAATAAAAATAAACTTCTATGTATTTTTTTTGTCCACAGGTCTGGAAAGAAATAACAGACAGGCCAGTGGTCCAATCCCCTGTCCACGTGATTTTGCTGGTTCTAATGCATTTGGATTGCCATGTGCATAACGTCCTATTATGGCATAGTGCCTGTGAATGCCCTACCTGAAAACAGTGATGTTATCTCCATGAATCCATCTTTTTCCTTTCAAAACTGTGAATAAGATGGATGATTTTAGAGTTCTACCCAAATCAGACAGACTCAATATAATGACTTTGGATAAAATCAGAAAGCAGAAGAGGAACAGTAACACTGACTGAGAAACTTCTTTTGTTTGCATCAGGAGGCCCAAGGACACTATGTCCATTTCCAACATCACAGTCTACATGCCCTCTGTGTTGACACTAATAGGGATCCCAGGCCTAGAATCTGTGCAGTGCTGGATTGGGATTCCATTCTGTGCCATTTATCTCGTTGCTATGATTGGAAATTCCCTGCTTCTGATCATCATCAAATCTGAGGGCAGTCTCCATGAGCCCTTGTACATTTTCTTAGGCATGCTAGGAGCTACAGATATTGCACTTGCTAGCAGCATTATGCCCAAGATGCTTGGAATATTCTGGTTTAATATGCCTGAAATCTATTTTGATTCCTGCTTGCTTCAAATGTGGTTCATCCACACATTTCAGTGCATAGAGTCAGGCATCCTGATGGCCATGGCCCTGGATCGTTATGTGGCCATCTGTTATCCACTAAGACATGCCATCATCTTCACCCACCAGCTTGTCATTCAGATAGGAACTGTGGTCATACTCAGGGCTGCTATTCTTGTAGCCCCATGCCTAGTACTGATAAAGTGCCGGTTTCAATTGTACCACACAACAGTCATCCTCCACTCCTACTGTGAGCATATGGCCATTGTGAAACTAGCCGCAGCAAATGTTCAAGTCAACAAAATCTATGGTTTGTTTGTGGCCTTCACTGTTGCAGGATTTGACCTCACATTCATCACATTGTCCTACATCCAGATATTTATCACAGTGTTTCATTTGCCCCAGAAGGAGGCTAGGTTTAAAGCATTCAATACCTGCATTGCTCACATCTGTGTCTTCCTCCAGTTCTACCTCCTTGCCTTCTTCTCCTTCTTCACGCATAGGTTTGGGTCTCACATCCCCCCTTATATCCATATTCTCTTTTCTAGCATTTACTTGCTGGTCCCTCCATTTCTCAATCCACTTGTCTATGGTGCAAAGACCACGCAGATTCGCATTCATGTGGTAAAAATGTTCTGTTCATAAAATCCACCTTAATTAATGCCCACATGCTTCCTTCTTTTGCAATAGCAACCATATCAAAACAAAACAACAATATGTATTATTTGAGATGCTTGGTTTGTGAAATCTGCCAGCATAATAGCTGGTTTTAGATCATCATAGCATATCAATCAATGGGGTTGTAAATTCTACCTGACTAATGAAATTGAGAAGTGTGAAGAGTAAAGTAGTGAATACATACTGTTTGTTTTTTCTCTTTTATTCTTTAGCCCCTGGTTGAGTTATTCCTCTAAGAATATTTCTCAAGGAGGATTTATAAATTATGCCTTTGTCACTGAATTTAAATGCACCTAAGTCTCGTTGTTCTGAAACGTCCAGGTACTCAATGAAAGCAAGTTGTTGACTTTCATTTTCTCCATTATCCTTGCCTTAAAAAAAGAAAAAAATCAAAGGAAGTACATGTTAATGGTGTTCTTATCAAAGAAAACCTTATGAATATCAAGAGACAATAAAGCCTAAAATTTTAAATACATTTTCAGAGTCATGCAGGGAATTACAGGCACAAAAATTAGAACCAGTTGTTGCATTTGACACATCAATGTTTTTTGTTGTTGTTGTTGTTGTTGTTTTTTTGCTAAATCCAAAATTTACTTCTTTATTAATTCATTGTTTTATCAAAAACCTACAATATTATAAATACTATACTACAGAATTGTGACATAATAGTAAATTTGGTACAGTGAGTAATTCTCATGAGTTTGTACCTATGTAATTCTGGAAAAGAGAGACTGAAAGGAAAAGAGGTGGGGGATGGGCCGGCAGGGGAAAGAAGGAAGAAATAACAAGTGTACACATGGGATGTGGAATTCAGAGAGAATGAAGCATTGAAATCTAACTAAAGCAGAAGAGTTGCATTTACTGTATTTTGTTTTTTGGTTAGGCAGTTGCCTCTGATTCCTGAGGAAAGATGAATGAGTGGCCAAGGTAGATAGAAGAGCAGATTTAAACTAGATAATGTAGTTTAAGGTAACTCTAGTTTTTTCAATATGGTATGAGTACAAGGTAGAACTTGGGGAGACAAGGAAAATACAAATATCAAAAATGGCTATTAATGCTGTGAGAGTTACTAGACTTTATTCCAAAAGCTATAATGTGCCATTGGAGAGTGTTTATTTGTTTGCTTGTGTTCTACAAGTAAGACACGTGTGTGTGTGTGTGTGTCTGCTTGGGCATGTGACAGCATACCACACAGCAAATATAAATAAGTCCAGGGCTATTGTGTTAGCGAAGAGGAGGAATATATTGTCTAAAATTAGTGGCATAAGAACTTATGGCTACTTAATTGTTCTTGAAAAACCTCAGGTCATAGATCATTTTTCTCAAGGTTATGGAAAATATTCACATATATGCAGATGTCCATACTTTGATTTACCAGATTAAAGCCACTGCAAATATAAGAAATATTAGATTGTTTGTCATACACCTACCTGGTGGATCCTCTGGCTTCAGGGATTAGGACTTAGCAGATATCCATGGCTGCTGAGAATGATTATAGAGGCTATCTTAAGGGATCTTTTGAGACTGTTTCAAGTTTCAATATTTACTAGAACTAATTTTATTGGATTACCAATAGGGATGGTTTTTCTTAAATAACATAATTTTCTCAAAAATAAAATAGCCTCTGATGTTATTTCTTAATATTTTAGCCAGAATTCAGCAAACTTTTAAATAAATGGCCAAATAATATATAGCTTAGGCTTTATGGAAAAAGAGGCAAATTCAAGAATATCACGTAGGCATTAATATAACAAGACAGAAAAATGTATGTCCACAAATAATTTTTATGAAATTCAAACAATATTAACAACAATAAGAATTGCATTGTCTTTAATTAAAGGTCTACTAATTAAAATAATAGAATCCATTTTCTTTTTCTACAAAGTGTAGCTGAAAGTTAGAGTTTCCCTATCACCAAATTGATTACAAATGTTCATCTGTGAAAATCATTCTTAACTAGTGGGCTATAGAAAAACAGGAAGCAGGCCAGGTTTGGGATGTTAAACAATTACGACTTTTAGCAGCACCACAGAAAATATGTGGTAATATAGGACCAACAAAGAGAATAATGTGAAACTACAACATATTTGCACCATTTCCGAATTTTAATATCTCATAAAATATGTAGTCCAGAGTTCATATTGTTTAATTACTATAGTCTTCAAATTTCAGGATCAGTCCCAAGTTGAGACTTACTGATAGAAAATAGAAAAAACAAATGGGTCATTACAAGGAAAAGAGGATAACCAGGACCCTCTACCCTCTTACACACTTCGACAGGGACAATTATTGAAAACATTCTTAAACATAAAATCGCTTGAAAGATAATAATATTTTTTGTAAGGATAGTTTTCAAGAAAGATTTCTAGAAATCACAAAATTAACTTCCAGGAGATTACATCAATTTGAACAATGACTAAAATAATGTTTGTCTAAATTTCCAACAACACTAGTTATTACTGACATTTATCTTTGACAGTTTGATAGGTAAAATATGATTCCCTTTATAATTATCATTTAACAAAGAAATATTTGTGCTGCTATCTTCTTTTCCATTTGTATATTATGTGAAGTACTTCACTGTTTCCTTTGTTCATTTTTCTAATTTGTGTCCATTTATTTTCTTCTTGAGTTTAAAATTTGATGAGTAAATATTGAATTATTTCCAAGGGTTTTATTGCTCAGGACTTTACCCGAGGATTTCCAATAGGCTATTGGCATTTTCTCATAGAAGTGACTTCAGGCATAAAGAAGAAAAGAAAAGGAAAAGTAAAAAGTCTTAATATTGGAGATATTTGACCTATTAGGAGCAGAACACTTATTGGAAAAAAAAAAAATGCTTTCAGGCAGGGCGTGGTGGCTCACGCCTGTAATTCCAGCACTTTGGGAGGCTGAGGTGGGTGGATCATGAGGTCAGGAGTTCAAGACCAGCCTGGTCAAGAAGGTGAAACCCCGTCTCTACCAAAAACACAAGAAATTAGACCGGGGCAGTGGCAGGCGCCTATAATCCCAGCTACTCAGGAGACTGAGGCAGGAGAATCACTTGAACTCAGAGTGTGGAGCTTGCAGTGAGCCGAGATCGTGCCACTGCACTCCAGCCTGGGCAATATAGTAAGACTCTGTCCCCCCAAAAAAGAATTGCTTTCAGGAACTGACCCTTCTAGCTTTTTGCACCCCTTCATTTAAATGTTCAATTTGGGAAAAATAACTTGCAACATTTGGCTCATTTCCACCCTTCTTGGTAGAGAACTGTCCTTTGGCAACAAGCCTTTTATGTTGATACTCCTAAGTAGTCTCCATTGCAATGTGAGAATACAACAGTATTACCCTCAATTTATTGTTAAATTTATGACCTTTTGAGATTTGGTTAGCAGGCCTATTTGACTTTAATACTAAGCTGTATGCCTGTATTTATACAGTATTAAAAATGCAGGTGATTCCCAGCTACTCGAGAGGCCTAAGGCAGGAGAATTGCTTGAACCCGGGAGGTGGCAGTTGCAGTGAACCGAGATGGCTCCACTGCACTCTAGCCTGGGTGACAAAGTGAGACTCCATCTCCAAAAAAAAAAAAAAAAAAAAAAAAAAGTGATATCCTACCACATCTATTTATAATTTCTAAAATTGCTCAGAATTTGTATTAATAAGGGTTCTTCAGGGTAAAAAACCAATAGGTTATGCATACATGTATGTATATACACATATATGCAGATAGGTATACATATACATATATATCTGTATCTATGTATCTATATGAGATAGATTAATTTTAAGAACCTGACTCATACAGTTATGAAGGCTGGCAAATCCAAAATCTGCAAGCAGAGCCAATAGGCCGGAGACTCAGGGAAGAGCCAGTGTTGTAATTTAAGTCCAAAGGCAGTCTCCTGGTAGAATTCTTTCCTGATTGGTGCAAGTCAGTCTTTTGTTCTATCCAGGCCTTCAACTGCTTGGAAGGCACATTATAAAGGACAATATACTTTACTCAAAATTTATTAATTTAAATGCCAGTCTCATCCAGAAATACCCACACAGAAACATCCAGAATAATATCTGACCAGAATCTGGGCACTGTGCCCCAGTGAAATTGACACCTTCAACTATTCAGAATAAAAAAATCCAAGGCAGAGAGCAGGTAACTACAGCACCTCTCGACGTCAGAGACTCAACATCATGGTTTACAAGTTACTAAAGAAAGAACACTGGGACAAAATAAAGCTTGTAGGAATTCATCCACCTTCAACCACTGATGTGCTAATCTCAGTATTTTAAAGATATCAATTCTCTTTAAATTTAATCTAGAAATGTAGAGTAATCTCAAGCAGAAGGCTATCAAACTTTTCTGGCATAAGTGCAAATGCTTAAAAAAAAGATATTCAATTCAAGAAGTGAAAGCTAAGAGTGAAATGTATGATAGAGTTCTGATAAATAACTCTGCCCTATATTCTAAGATTCAGTGTCTTTTAGATGATGACTCTCTAAAGAGTCGAGGACGGGAACAGAAGACAGTAACTGTTGTCCCTTCCATGCAAGGTCTGAGACTAACATACACAATGACAATTGCACAACCTTTATTTGTAGTGAACACAACTTTTTAACATGAAAAATCCTAAAAAGTATACAAATACAACAGATATCATGAATTAGTAGGTGAATTTAGCAAAGTTTAATGTTTGAAGTCTACATAAAAATTGTTTATAAATCTACATACTGGAATCCAATAATTAGAAAATAACAATAATTTGCCATAAAGTGTAAAAGCATAAGATACACAATTTATATTTAGGCACACAATAAAATACAAAAATTTTACACTGATAATTACAAAACATTGTTGAAAGAAAGGCAAAATCTAAAGAAATAGAGAGCTGTGCCATATTCACAGATTAGACACCTCATTATTGTTAAAATGTTAATTTCCTTAAAGTCATGTAAAGATTCAAAGAAATCCCAGATATAATCATAACAACCTTTTTTTTTTTGGCCATGAATTGAGAAGCTAATTTTATATTTTACATGAGAAATCAAAGGACCTACAGCCAAAGCAATCTCAAAATAAAGAATAAATGTTAAGTACTGAGAATATCTAACATCAAGACTTACTACAAAATTCTAATAATAAAGACAGTGTGATATCAGCATGAGGACAGCTAATGAAACACAACAGAGAGCCCATAAGTAAGCCCACATTTGTACAATCCATTGATTTTATACAGAAGTATCAAAGCAATTCAATGGAAAATAGTCTTTTAAACAAAATTAGGTATTCATATATATCTATACATTTTATAAATATATATGTTTAATCTAAAAATTTATTTAATACCACACAAAATATTAATCCAAATGGGATAATATAGAAGTAAAAAATAAGGCTTCTAGGAAGAAGAAATCAGAATACTTTAATATATTGAAGATTGGCAAAGATTTCCTTCTTACAACACAGAAAGCAACAGGATATCATCTTATCAACAATTTGGACTTCAGCAAAAGTGGACTGCTAAGAAAATTAGCAAGCAATACACAGACTATAAAATCATGCAAAAAAACTTAAATCTGAATTATATAAATAGTTTTAAAATTTTATATAAATAACCCTTATAACTCCATGTAAAAAACAAAAATGTGCAAAACACTTTACCAGACACTTCATAAAGCAATAAAGTAATAAGCTCTGCAAAAGTATGGATCATAATTTAGAAAAAAACTTTTTACTTAGTAAAACTGATTAGTTCATATTTTAGTATTCTATTTATATGATGTTCTAGGACAGGTAAAATTAATTGAAAGTAATTTTTTTTTTAAACAACAATGCTTTCCCCTGAAAAGGTGGGAACAGTCATGTTGGGAAAACTTTCTTAAGTGCAGGAAATATTCTATATCTTGATAGGATAATGAGTAACATATTTGCAAAAAATAAGCTTAAGATCAATACATTTTACTGTCTTTTCTTAGTAACAAAAGAGTATAAACAAACACTGTTGAGGATAATGGAAGATAATTTTTGTACTTGTGAAGAAAATAATTACTTATATGGAAAGTATTGAGACTAGAAAGAATCTTGAAGGTTTGGATTCCAATTGCAATTCCAAGTATGGATTCATTGTTTTTAATAAAGAGAGACACAGACATACGCAAACGTAATTATATAATTGTGTGTGTGTGCATGTATTTCCTCTGTTCACTTATAGGAACCAAAAGCAAGGAACAAGCAATGGCAATGAAAAAACAATCCTTGTTTCAACATATTGATTTTCTTAATAACTTTGTTCACAGAAAAAGATCAGGGCTTTTTGGAAAAATATCTGTTTCTGTGGCTTGAGCTGAAAAAGCATAAAGTAATTTGAAATCACGATGCAGAGATAGAAAATAAGGAAGTACTCAAAGCATGATTGGAACATGTGGAAAGGACCCAAGGTCTAGTTGGAAGGAGCTCCTTATGGCATAATTTAGAAAATTTTGAGCATCAAAATAAATAATTATGGCAAAGGATTGTAGCCCATTGAATAAAATCAGATTCTGTGAATCTATACAAATGTAAGTAAAGCAATACAAGTTTGGGAAAGGGGAATGCTCTTCCTTATAGTGTAATGCCAATAAATAAAGAGGAAAGGTATGATGCATTTAAAAATTCATAAACAGAATAATAAAACTCAAGAGTGAAAGTGCTCTGAGGAGCGGACCATTTAAATAGTCTCAATAAATATATACTTTTACAGATTTCTATGAATTACAAAGAGAAAAATAGCAACTTACCATGAATCCAGAGTGACATCCCATTAACCAAGTGACTGAAACTAACCACATTAATATTAGAACATATCAGCATCATATGATTAATGATATTGTGCATGAAGAAAGGCTACATTATTCTGTTGCATTAAAAACAAACAAGCAAAACTGTATAACCTGAATCCTAGTCACGAGGAAACGCCAAAGAAACTAAAATGATGGAAATTCTAAATAACAAATGGATGTTCTTCAAAAATTCCACTATCAAGAAAGCAAAAGAAGAGCTGAGGAGCTTTTGAAAATTCAGGAAGTCTAAAGAGACGTGAAAAGTAACTGCATTATTTGTTCCTGGACTGGATTCTGAAAAAGGAAAATACAGCTATAGAAGTCATTGTTGGGACTACTGTCTAACTTTAAACATGGACTTTATATTAGGTTATAATTTTATTTAAAGGCTAACTGTCCTCATCTTGGTTATAATACCATAGTTATACAATATAATGTCTTTTCCTTAAGAAATACAAGCTTTAAAATTTATATGTGAAGGGGCATCATGCCTTCTATTTATTTGTAAACCAATCAGAAAAAAAAATTCTCCATCTTCCTACCTACTAAACTAGTGATAAAGCACAATGGGGCAAAATATGAAGAGTTTGTGATTATGGGTACATGTGAATCTTTGTATACATGTTATAAAGGAGTTTCTCACACTCTTACTGCAAAGTTCTATATATTTAAAATTATATAAATAGTTAAAAAGTTTTAAAGTGGTACTATTTCTTAAACCATTCTCAATTCAGGAAAAAACACCACTATCCATTCACTTGACTCATCCAAAAATCTAGTCATTTTCTTTGAAAGTGACCTCAATTTCATACAATACACCTAATCACCAATTCTTTGTGATTTGTTAAATAATTCTTAAAAGTATTTCCTTCTCTCCCACTGATGAAGTAATAAATCTGTCATTACTTCTTTCCTATTTCACTCTTTCATAATATTGTATGTAAAATAATGAAACGTTGCATCTTTCGTTTATTGGTAATTTTTATATGACATGTTTCAGAAAGTTACTCGAGTTAGCATTATAACATTAAAATCTATTTCTTCATCTTCATGTATTATGTTCGTTTTTCAGAGAGCCTTACGTTTTTGTTTTCATTTTCCACAGAAATTGAGCTGCTTGATGTATCTGTCTGCTGTTCTTTATACCGTGTGTGCCAACACTTGTACCTTTTTGCACTGCTAGCCAGCTTTTAGACTCTAGTTAAGACAATTTAGTTAGAAGTGTTGTTTAATTAAAGTAAGTTTTGGCCACTTCCCTGGTTTTGTCTACCCCTCTCCTCCAAGTTTTCATAGCAGCTACCACATTACTCTCCAATTTTTTTTCTTTATATAACTGCTTCCTTCACCAGGATCATACGTCTAATTTATCTGTGTGCTCACGATCCACACAATTCATGGCACATTTTTTAACTTGTAGTCAGTTTTATTGCAGGTATAAAATCCCCTATAAACATGTACCATCCCACTCTTCTTTAGCCATAAAGTAGAAAACAGCTTGAAACAGGTTAAATATCAGGTAAGAAACTAAAGTAGCAGTTTAGTATGATTGGCAGGATCTGGTCCTGGTGGTGACTAGAAATGTCTATGTATTTATGTATGTGTATGTGTATATGTGTGTATGTGGGCATCTGACAGAATAGTGGCTGAGTTGAACCCTAATCCCATTTCCCACATATAATCATTGTTAACAGTATGATGAGGTTCTTTCAGATGATTTTAATATGTAAATGATGATTTTAATATGTAACTTATAGTTACAATGTATTGTTACCAAGGGGTCCTTGCTCCCAGAGCTCCCAAGATGGTGGCGGGCTGCTTCCAAGATGGTGGCAAGTCTAGTGCTCTCTGACCTGGGGTTCTTGACCTCACAGATTCCAAGGAATGGAATCTTGGGCCATGTGGTAAGTATTACAGCTCTATTAGAAGCCGTGGGTCAGGCAAGAGAACCGTGGAACCCAGTGATTCAGCTCATTTAGGTGTTCAGCTCAATTAGGACGAACCCAGGCACTTAGCTGTGCAGGAACAATGGCAAGCCTTTAGCCCTATGGAGAGTGGCAATGGGCATCTGGCTGGATCAGGAGCACAGCCGACACCTTGCTGCATCCGGAGGGATGGAAGTCAGCGGCGGGTCTGTGATGGCGGCAAACAGCAATAGTGGACTGCCAGCAAAAGCTAGCTCAAGCCCTAACAAAACACGGACCAGAAGAGTGCAGTTGCAAGATTTAATAGAGTGAAATAGAGTTAAAACAGAGCTCCCATATAAAGGGAGGGGACCCAAAGGAGGTTGCCGGCTGGAATGCCTGGGGTTATATCCTGATCCTTGTCCCTCTCACTGTGCTCTCAGGCAATAGATGATTGGCTATTTCTTTACCTCCTGTTTTTGCCTAATTAGCATTTTAGTGCGCTCTCTGATTCCTTGCGTGTGGGCTAAGTTGCAAGTCCCATGTTTAAAGGTGGATGCAGTCACCTTCCCAGCTAGGCTTAGAGATTCTTAGTTGGCCTAGGAAATCCAGCTAGCCCTGTCTGTCAGTATCATATTAGTTTTATTTTTTCACATAATGTATTTTAATCACCTTTCATTGGCAGTATATAGAATCTCTTCATCCTTTATTAAGCTTATAAAATATTTCCATAGCATAGATATAACTTAAATTATTTAACTAATTCTGAATTGATGAGTAATTGGAATTTTTAAGTATTTTACTATTATAAACAGTGTTACAAGGTATTTGTATATAACTCTGCCTACTTGCTTAG